CTAATGAAGGTAGGGAAGGGTAGGAGGAAGAAGAAGCGACTCAAGGGAGACATGGACGCTATGAGAGGGTACGGCGAAGACATGTACGGAGGGGGAGACTTCAACGAGACCCGTGGCAGGAATCTTTGCTCCGTTTGCAAAGAATCTGGTCACAAGACTAGCAGGTATAGAAGATGAGGGCAGCAGGTGCTTTCATATTGTGTTCATATTGTATAACAAGTAGTTCACATTTTGCAATGCTATATAAAGTTAATTTGAATATTGTTAATTTGAATACTCTAACCCTTTGTTTATCAATTTGTAACAGGATGGCCCCTCCCACGTTGCACCAGATGTACCCCCTTCTTGAGGTGGAGTACGACGACCCCCTTCTTCCACCGGACGACGAGGTTTCCAAGAGGTGTCCGAGGGATCCTTACACTCCTAGGACTTAGTTGGTTATGTAGAACTTATGTTGAACGAATATTGTCGTCCGAAACTTGTAGACTCGTGAACCAATAAAAATGTTATGTGACAACTTATCAACTTGCGCATGGACTCCATTTATTTGCTTCATATTCGTTTCAACTTGCGCACGGTCGCGGCAGCACTTGTAGTTGTTTACAGCACCGACAGTAGCTCCCGTTCAATTACAATTGAGGCTGGTCGGCTTCTATCTGCGTCCAGTGCTACCATGCCATGGGGCATGGCACGTCAATGCCACGCCGGTTGCTATGGCGCGGCAGAACCTGGGCTATGGCCCGATAGAACCAGTGTCGAACCGTATTCGGAATAATTCCACTCGATTTTGTTCGTTTTAGAAATTCTCAATGCATGATACAAACGGATGGGATCACTTAAGATCGACCATGGGTAATCTAAGTACATGATACATGGGTACAATACAATCGGTGAGTATGGCAATGTCGTCGTCATCCTCGTCCCCCTCATCAGACATCACAATCGGTGATTCAACGGTGCGACCAGCTCGTTTTCTGTGCTCACCTAACTTCTTTTTCTCATACCTTATACGAGCCACCTCTGCAACATGTTCCTCGTTGTATCCAATCCCTTTATGTATAAAATGCAATCAATTAGCAACGCGATTATATTACATTTAAAATAAGGCAACGAAAAAAGGCTTTCAAGCACTCACTAGCACATAATGCAACAACATGTTCGTTCAAGACCTACATCTGTACTCTTGTCTCCTCCCTTGCCTCCTTCCTTGCCCTCTCCTCCTCTAACGTCATCCGTCTCTTCAATCCCCATTTGTCAAGCCCAACATCGATCGGGTTACAAATAACACGCTGTCTAACAAACTCACACATCTTGTCTTTGTGGTGTTTAACGAATAGGTTGACGTAGTCAGGTCCATATCCCCTCTTCCATGCAATTACTTGCTTCCCATTCAGTTCATCCAAGAACTTAGCTTGACCATCATAACATTCTCACCTGCATTTTCTGGTGCTCTGTTCAAACAAAAATTATATCATATATGTCTTAGCAAAAGAAACAAAATACGATTTCATGGTTACCACAAAAATAACCAACCTCATCATAGTCAACCATATGGCCGCAATAATGGTCTATTCCAAGCTCTGAAGGGACTAGACCGTAGTTGAATTTAACATACATTCACACTTGACTGGAGGTGCTTTGTAAATTAACCTTTTTTCTTCTTTTGCTTTGTCTTTGGAGGTTCTTCCGGCCATTGGTTCTTAGGACCATACAACCACTTCTTGAAACGACACTTCGCCATTGAAAACACCTAAATAAGGTGACATTAGTACATGAACACATATAACTCAATATTTCAACACATACATTTTGCACTTACTTCATGCTTGTTTGGACACATAAACTCCAACGTATTTTCAGGGTTTATCATAGCTCGATCTCCGCAATCGCACAGAGGAGGTTCCTCGAGTTGTCTAATTACGGCTAAGTGCTTCTCCTTAACCGTCATTGGAGGGGGGTTAGGGGGAGGTGGGACCCACCGCTCGAAGTGCTCTCGTGGATGTCGCCCTCTCCACCAATCGTCGAAAAGGAGGTACCTGGGGTCAAACTTGTCTGCACCGTCGATCCACTGAAAGAAAAAGCACCTCTCATGGGCCTACACAACAAAATTCCAACAAAATATTAGTAACCTAGTAATACAAATGAAGAAAAAAACATACGAAAACAATTACTTACATTAAAACGACTGCATGTGTAGAAGCAATGAGCCGCTGTGTTCGGATGTCTCGATTGAAACACGTCGGCCGGACGACCACAGTCACAGTTAGGAACAGAGAGGTCAGGAGGGACGGGGCATCTTTGCTAGACTCGTCAGGGTACAATTCTCTAGGACGACCCCGTTTTCGCCACAACTGCTCTCGAAACATGTCTTCCATCTAATAAAACGGTTCAAATTAAATATCAATCAAAACAACGCAAATTAATGTAAAATGTAATCATTTACATTGCAACTAAAATAATATAACCAACACTTATAGCAACAAAAATATACATGGTAAACATACTTCTAACTAAATAATTAACCTTAACATTGACAAAATCAAAGTAATATCTTTCTCCAAACCGTAGCCCATAGTTCCCAAACATAATTTTTCTCCCAACCTTAACTTCCATTCATAATATTCCAATCCACCATTCAAACAAAAAATAAAAAATGCGTCATTACCTTGAACGAGGCCGAGGAGGAAGGGAGGCGGCCGGGGAATGAAAGGGAAGGGAGGAGGGAGACAGCACTTGGGAGTGGCGAGCAGGCGGGCGTGTTCGGGCAGAGCGGGACTGGGCCGCGACGCTTTTATTCAGCTCTGCCGCGCCACCGATCAGCATTTCCGGTCGTCGCCACGTTATCCACACACCGCGCCACCATGCATGGCACGGCACAGGCTTTTCGCCGCGCCATGACAATAGGTGCGACCAAAAGTGTTAGTTTTGAGAAAAAAAAAAATAGTGTTAAATTTAAAATTAGTTTAAAAAATGTTAAAATTAAAAAAAATCACCGTAGGCATGCGCACACTGTTTTGGAGGCACCGGAACTCCGGAAGAGTGCATACAAAGTAGCTGCACCGGTTGGTGAAAGAAACTGCACGGCAGGAAGTGGTAATTGGTAAGCAGCATTGATCAGCGGTCACAGGCCCTGGTTGCACAATAAATTTGAACTTTCCCAGTCAGCTGCTCGTTTCGGCAATACCTGCCGAATTCTCCCAGCTGAACATTTTGAGAAGCCTTGTGTGTGCAAATAGAAATGGCAATTAAACCGAACGGTTCTTCCATTCCATCCGCACCCAGACACTAGCCTTGCGTGCAGCCTGCGCCATACTCCTCAAGTGGTCTCTGTTGACATCGTGAATATTGAGCATTTTATTTTGAAACGTGTAGGTGTTATTATATATATTTTTAAACAATAAAATAGTTAAAATTAGAAAATTTTAACTTGCGACAAAACGAAGATGAATTATAATTTGAAATAGAGTGATCAAGTACTTTGGTTTGTGGATACACGAGAAAAGCTGTAAGCTATGGCACCAGCCATTTCAAACACTGAAACAAACGTGGTGATCGATGAGCTGCATTTGTATATATGAGCATCCAATCAAACGAAGAAGCACAACGATATTGTATTTGCCATGAAAATTCAATTAGATCAAGCATCCAATCGAACCGACAAAAGCGACCTCCACGGAATTCAACTACTCGCATAACGCGATGGCAAATCGTAGCAATCATGTACATGATACATGATGGTACAACAGCATTGGGATACGATTGCAATTTTGGATTATATATATCTAGTAGCTGATCTTCAGAATGGATTTGGAAACGAACTGTCGAGTCAGGTTCAGGCGCTATCAAGTGAGCTGCTGCAACATATACCCCAGCTATATCCAATCAGCAATTAACACGGATGACAGATGGAACAGTACTTGGTGACGTGGTGTGGTGTCTGCTGTTTTCTTCTGAATACTTTTTTTTGCCTTTTCAACACCCGAATTTGAGTTCAAGGCCCGTTCGGCTGGTATTAAACCCGACTGAAACTATGTTTTATTATGAAAAAAAATATTGTAAATTTTATCTGATAAGCCAGCTGATAAGCGAACAAGCCCCAAATCTCTAGACTAGTACTAGGGAGTAATTGCTTGCTACAGTGCAACACGTTCACAGTTGAACTGTTACGTCCAGAGAACACACTAGATTATTGGAAACTAGTAAAAGTTTGCTAAAATATTCCTGAACACAAGTAGGCCCTGTTCGCTGGAGAAATTTGGAGGAATATATAAGAGAGTGAATAATGTTTCTTATCCGCGTACACTGAAATCCGGCCGGTTTTTCACGTAGGAAATTCTTTTTGGTGTTTATGACCTGCATATCTGGTGCGAACCACGTTTTTTTTTTGTTTATAATGAAATGAAATTGTACGCTATGATGCATATATAGTGACCCAAAGGGGGGGAAAAAAGAACTGCAAAAAATTAGCACCTTATATAGGCAATTCAATGTACTCGATACGGCAATTCAATGTACTCTGATTGAGTGCCAGAACCACACGTATGTTTGAATATTTTATTTTACACGCTCCACCAATTAAATTCAAGCAACAAGTGGCACCTACAAATGGCGTATATTTTACAGCTTTCAAAAACATATGTATATTCATACGGAACAAGGTATGTGCTTGCAGACTTCAACATTTCTGCCTTCAAAGAAACACAATGAAAATATGATGTTTACCCCCATAGGATGTGACTATTATAAATGGGCACTGAGAAATCCAAACAGGTGGTAATTGATAGTCAAGAACAACAAATTTTCTTGCTGTATGTACACAATAAAATTCTGATATAGCTGAAAATGAGATGGTACAATGAAATGGTGGGTATGTTACAATTCCTGCAAACTAAGTGTGCCCTATTCATCTCAGTTCCACCCACTATGCAGGTAGTGGCTCCTCCAAAACTGTCGGCAAAAAGTATATCATCAATGCACCATATAAACAAAAAAAAAGGTACCTAACAAAATATAGAATGCGATAATAACACGAGATCAAAACCTTTGGTCATTCCTGGAGCTTCAGGCCTCTCTGGCACTTTCGTAGGCACATCAGGAAGCTCAATAACCTCATCGATGTCCTCAGGTGCAGCTTCTGTGTCAGCCGGACCTTTCATTTTCTCTTCAGGTCGTACTTCACTAACAGGAGCGTCTGGCAAAGACTCAACGGCAAGCTGCAAAGAAAGGCAATGTTAGAACTAAGATAGACTTTAAACTAACAAGGCAGAAACAGAACCGTCTACATCTCACTTTAGATTTTGAAGCTTAAATGTGATTGCTCAAAATCATAGACAATGTCATGCCACTAAAAGAGACCAGAAAAAAATGGAGCATTTCCAGTGCTTACGTGAATAGATAAAATGAATCAGAATAGATGAGGATCATGGGAGAGAAACTAATCAGAGGTTAAGTCTTGTAATGCCTACTGTTATGTTTGCATTCATAGGGAATCAGGTTGTTACACATAATTCATGGGCCTTCTTTCTGGTTTGGCCCGAGCAAGGACAATATTTATATATGAGAGGAGAATTTATGACCAAGAGTGAAACATAAATCTGGTCCAAAGTGGAATTTTCAGTCTCGTTTGTATAATTGCATAATTTTGGGTTCCTTCTCAACAGATAAGAGCTCTGTAGATGCTTTGTTGGCCAAACCTGAGCTTCCAAATTTTCAAACTCGGCCATAACAGCTTCTTCATCCTCAGCTGAGAGCTGCTCGCCCAGAACAGCATTTATTTCCTGAAATCGACAAGTGATTGGACAAGTCACTAAAAAGAAAATAGGCCCATTCTTTTGCAGTTGGGGCAACATCACAACAATTCAACAGAAGGTATGCTTTTTATGAGGCCCTAAAAGGAAAGCAGAATACAGAACTACTTGTATATAGGTCATGATTTCACAAGGGTGATAAATAGTAGTCCCAATCATATTTAGTCATTCACTACCTACATCCAACATTATAACCATGTTCAAAGCTAGTTATGATGAAAATCTGAAAATAGGCATGCAATCATAGTTGCCAAAAACGACTGGATGGAAACAGGCAATACTTATATATTCAGACAGGATATGGCTGTACTCCATAATTTCACTCTGACGTGTTGCTATCACAATGCCTATACAGTATAACAAGTTGCTGGCAAAAATAAAATAAAATCAAAGGGGATATTCACAACATCTGATTTGAGGTGCAAATTGTATGTATCTTAATAAGGATGCTGTAAATGAAGTTACTTAGAAGAGACAATCCCAAAGAGATTGGCAGCGGATGAACTCCCCCTATAGAAATGATCAAATGAATGTATACAGGTAGAGTTAATTCAACTTACATCTTGATAAGCCTTAGCCTCGGCTGTGTCATCCATCAGCTTTTGGACATCATCAATGTTTATCTCATTCTGTATAGACTTAAGGGCAGCGTTTCCAGCCTTCAGGCTTTCAAATACAGCCTTTTGTTTACTTGTTAGTTCAATATCTGCCAGCTAAACCAAGGGAACCGAAATACTCTGTCAGGTTATCATACATCAAATTAAGAAACTCAGTGCTCCTAAACTTCTTCAATAAGGCCTTGTTTGGATGCACGTGTATCCACCTCAATCCACATGTGTTGAAGTGGATTGGAGTGGAACTTAAACTAATTTTCACTCCAATCCACCTCAACACATGTGTATTGATGTGGATAGATGTGCATCCAAACAAGGCCTAAGAAGTGTAGAACTCCAGCCCTACACGACAATATTTAATAGGGCAGACCTAGTGCCGGAGGCTCCCACATGAGTGGGGTCTGGGGAAGCGAAAAACCGAGGCAAGCCTTCCCCCCGCAAAATCTGCGGAGAGGCTGCTTCGAACCCGCGACCTGGTGACTCAGTGAGACAACTCTCACCACTGCACCAGGCCTGCCCTTCTACACGACACGACAATATTTAATAATTGGTATTAAAGAACAATTATTTGAATGAACTACAAACCTGTTGTTCAACATTCATTTGCCATGTGTCAACTTGTTTCAACAGCTCTTCCTGAGCTTTCTTCTTCTTCAGAGCAATCAAAGCTCTGTCTCTCTTCTTCTGTTGAACCAGCTGCCGTGCAGCTTCCTTTTCTGCTTCGATTACCTTCTCAAGCTGGAAGGAAAGAGAAGCATACATAAATACGCTCTTTCTATACTTTTAGCAGAGGTGATGTTGAAATGATTAAATGTGAGGAACTGAGGATAATAACCATCTAGTCAGAATAGTCAGCACCTGATGACAACACCACCGGTTGTATTAAGCTAGAATCAAAAGACGAAGTATAACATCCAAGTACATTAAGTTAAACTGTCTGTAGTTGCATGCAAATTCCACAAAATGCAACACCGATTATTGTAATACACGGTAACGTGTAGCAAAAGCAAATAAGACTTTTGGAATGCGCTCCAGAAACTGATGTATTGACGTTTGGACAAACAAGATTAGCAGGTTTAACGTTCACTGGGAATCCTCGACTATAGCAATGGAATTACAAGGAGACAATCTTTCTTCACTCCCAATCACCAGACAGATATGTCGACCTGGATCGATGCTGTGACACGACTCCGATCAGGGCTCCCTGTGCGAAACCAACCTATTGAGACGCGATAATTGAGCCCTGGAAAACTAGAAACTCGCAAGTTACTCCGATTCATCAATCGACGCCGCTCTATCCAACTCCAGATCCGAATTGCCACCTACACCCGCTCCCGCTCGACGGCCGGAATCTGATACCATCCCACGGCGCGACAGAGAGACGGCCGGAATTCGACACGAGCGAGGGCGACGGACCATCCGTAGCTCAAGATAGGGCAGGGTGCCGCGGAAGGCGAGGCGATTGGAGGGGAAGGGGCGGAGGCGGACCTGCTGCTGGAACTGGGCGAGCTTGCGGCGCTGGGTCTTGAGGGTGAGGATGGCCCTGTCGACTTCAGTGATCTTGGGCTTCTTCACGAAGATGTTCCCCATGCTCGCGGTCGTGGGGTTCCGCCGGCCGGCGAGGTGGCGTGACGGCGGCGGAGTCGGAGAGGAGGAGGGAAAGGTGGACTGGACGGGGACGAGACGGTCACGGCATTACAGTTGAGCCGTTCGGTGCCGGCAGGGCGGCAGGGCAGGGTCTGTCTTTGGGTCGTGTCCTGCTCTGGCGGGACCCATTACCGTCGATTCGTAACTTCTTTTGAACCTTTTTCTTTTTTTTTTTGGAACGAGATTTGCGAGGAGAAAAGCGTTTTCATCCCGTTACGTTCTCAAGTAAATCCACCTCAGAGATCGAAGCACCACCCAGTGAATCCCAAACTTGTCTTGCACAGTAGCAGGAGAAGAGAGAGGCGCAGTCATGGAGACGGCGATGCTCCTGTGCCGGTGGGCAAACCGAAGGAATTGTTGTTTGGCTTGTAGTGTGGCAAAGTTCTCCCTGATTCGGTTGCCAGATTTGGCCGCGATCCAAGGACAGCTTGGCTAGGCAGCAACATGCAACAATTGTTATGTTTGAATCCCTTGCTAGCTGCTTCGTAGTCCATGAAACCAATTGTTATGTTTTCATGGACTTGAAAGGTTTTCCTTTGCATGATTGGGCAATCCATTTTGGCTCTCCTACCAAGTCCCATGCTGTAATGCAAGACTCTCAACCTTGTGGCAAGTGAGGCGAGGCATTCCAGTTATGTAATTGCAAGAGAGTTAAATGTGCCTTTGCTTGAGACCATCTTTACCCCCTACCAAGTCGGTGATCATGCCAGATTATTGGGGATGTATTGCATCAAAATACGTTGAGTGAGGATCTCTTCGTATCACCAACTTGGATTGAGGTGGCCGTCTGCTTACGAATGCCGACACTATGTACAATGGGCGGTATCCGCCACACCCCAAGAGGAGTGCATTCCACATAGTTACTTAATCCATTTCATACATCCGAGAGAAAAAGTACATTATTACATAGCATTATTAAACAACGAAGATAAACAACTAGAAAAGAACGAGGTGGCATCCAAACCTGCACTCCTTTTCTAGTTGATAGGGGACGTTGTAGGTGAGAAGGTGTCCAACATTTGCTTGAGACCATCTTTGTTATCAACCATTCTATATAAGCACATGTTCTACTTTCAAGCAAGAGTTGAGAAATCGGTTCATTTCAACTCATCTTCCAGGTTCTTATAAGGTGCTAATGGGGATGTACCAATGCCCCGTTTTAGACTATTGGGGATGTATTGCATCAAATCCCCTTAGAATAAGCCCCCACTCCCGAGTCTCGGACTCGGTGTGGTGCATGGACCTCCACCATCTCCGCCTCAATCAATCACCGGTCCGGAAGAGCCCACGACAAGAGAGCAACGAGTCTTCCCTATATCATCAAATCACTCTTATACAACGACAATCACATCTTAACGAGCTATTCAGCCCACCTTGCACCATTTACCTTTACATCATTTTATCACGGTGATTATTTACATCTATTTGCCCAACTTCACGATCCATGGATCGTCTCAAGATAGATTTATGCTTGTAGTTTCCATAAAATGCCAACCTCGATAAGGACTCATAGGTAGATAGATTTATGCTTGTAGTTTCCATAAATGCATCCAGATCATAAATGTACATCATATATATATTTAGTGATCATAAAATATGGGTTATGCATCGGGCTTGCCTTGGGGCAAAATATGGCTCTCCTCCTCGTACTTCTCAATGACCTCTTCGTAATCTTGTTCGTCCACGGGCACGAACTCTACCAACTCATGATCTATATGCATAAAATGATGATGCAACACTTAGTAATACGGCAACAACGACTCTTAAAATAGAAATTCATCTATCAAGGTACTAAGCGAGCTCTACCAGCTAAGATGCTGAGTTACCTACTGTTACCACTATAAGTATGAAGTATGACATATTTTATCTTAGCAACTAAATGTATTCTTACTTCTAATACCGATTTACTCTATATATGATAAAACAAGGATAATAGCTACTCTATTTATCAACTTACTTTAGGGCTACAAAATTTACAGCAAGTACATAATAATCTATTGAGCCTGCTAGAAAATTTTCATAGCTATAGCTATCACCAATTACCATAAAATTTCCTATAAATATTAATCCACATAATGCTAAGCTCTCTAATTTGGATTTATGAACCTATCACTATCACAACTATCTCCGCCTAACAAATTTAGTTTCACTATTTTTGAACATCTACTTTACTATAATTTCTCAAAGTCCATTCAAACTACATTAAATAAACATTTGTTTCTTTGAAAACCGATTTGTGTCCGATGACCCTAGCACGCACATCCTTGTCAGTGACCTCATGCATGCTCCCCCATTTTGTTTTCTATTCATGACGCTTACTCAAACACTATTTAGTTGAGTCACCGCTGTTTCTAGCACCTCACCTCTCCTTTTTCTTCTTTACCTTGGCCGAGTCCCCCAAGACCCGTCGAGTATGTCCTCGCCCGCACACCTGCACCCTCACAGCCCCCTATCTAAGGAGCCGATGCTCACCTCAACGCCAACAAAGCGGTGGAGGCGAGACGGTGAACAACGATGTCGTGTCTTGAGCTCCCTCCACGGATAGGCCCCGTTCCGTCAACCCAACATCAAGCTCGATGGGCAACAACGACTCACCCCAACCTACCGGTCTGGTGGCTTGACCGTTCCATAGCATGGCCACGCGCGCAGGCAAGCCTCGCTCGAGCGATGGCGGCACGGCATATCTCGCGCCGCGCGACGGGCGCCGGCCAGTGGAACACAACAACAACAGCGCTTATATGATCGCAGAGAGCGGGCGCACTCCCACACGCCGGCAAGGCTACGTGCAGGCGAGCAGCCAGCGTGGCCACATGGGGAGCGACACGAGAAGCGAGGCGACAACTAGGGTTGGTCCAACCTATTAGGGGAGATACAACTCCCCTTTATATTAAGTGGATGTGAGGGAGTTATTGGTGACCAAAAATCGCGCCTGAAATGGAAAGTGACTATTTTTTAAAGGCCCAAAAACCCAACTCGGATTCCTAAACCTATTTTACGCAATGACAAGAACTCATTCCCCGATCGATACAAAATTGCCAAACTTTTTTATCCGAGATAGAGGAAATAATAAAACACGATCGGATTGTTGGATTTCCAAGCCATGCTTAGCTAGCGAATCCCGCTTCTCGAGCTTGATGAGCTTTGATGAGTTGTTCCTAGTTGGAATCGGTTTCAGTCATAGCATTTCCGCTCAATAAAAAATCATTTAGAACCCTAAGTAATACAACGTTTGTAACATGAGTTTAGTGTTTCAAATGAACGTTTGTTCCGAATATTGCTTTATACCCTATATTACATACATGTACACACAAGTTTAATGTTGCTATATTTCGGGGTGTGCCTTAATTTTTGTCCACCGCCTACACCCATTTCTTTCCTTTGCACTGCAAAACCCCCCGCCTTTCAAACAACAATCTTGGAGCATCTCCAATAGTTCCAAAGACAACTCACACCCTATTGCTAGAGATAGGCCCCCTCATCATCGCATTTCTTTCTATAGCCAAACAATGGCAAACAACCCCTTTATTTAAGTTACATATTTGTCTGAATGACAAGAACTCATTCCCCCCTGATAAAAAAAAAATAATAGGAGAGATGCTTTGAGCTTGATGAGTTGTTGTTGAATAGACTGACCCACAATTTGGAAACAGTAGGAACTCTGGATATTTCACAACAATCTTGGAGCAAATCAAAGACAACCAGGCAGCCCAGCATCACCAAACCGGCTTTTGCCAGAGAAGAAGCCTATTAACCGTCCGGCCCAAAAGACATGATCCTCGTTAAGCCCAACAAATAGGAATTAGTGATTCCGCTCAGTGGCCGATAATCGTGGGGTTCAGGAGCCTTCATATCACTCACTGCATATGCGCTGAACTGAACCTGTGGCTCTCAACGCTCTCCGGTCCTATACATGCCATGCATGTCGTGGTTGGTTCGTGGACGGTGGACTCAGTTTCTGAAGTCATCCGGGAAGAAGCCTCGCTCTCCAATGACAACAGGCTCGATGCCAACGGGCAACGGGTCCAGGTGCTCCCAAAGACCCGCACGAGCACTGGCGGCAGCGGCACTGCGCGTGTCGGAGCTCCCGCCTCAGCAGTCACCGCGGGACACACGCAGATGGCCAGCCAGATATGCATTCTACGCACGCGCGACGCGCGTGCCCCATGCACCGCCGCTGCCGCTGCCGCTGGTCGTGACAAGAAGAAGCGGCCCGCCCAGCGCACCGTGCCGCGTACGTGCTCGCCGCCCCACGATATGGGCGCATGGCATGCAAGTAATCGACTGCGACTGCGAGCGGTCGAGCTCTCCGCACGATCTGACGGGCGAGCCTGATTTTCCATTTCCTCGTGGGAGTTTTTTTAAAAAATATATATATAAGGCATTTCCTCCTGCGTTGGAGCTAAGCTAAGCTACTGAGCTATAGCTACTCGGTTCATGATTTTTGGTGGTTGGCGACTGGCGAGCAAGTGTGTAGCTGGTGCGCAAAGAACAGAAAGGAGAAATGCTACTACTAGTCGTCACGTTTTACCTGCAGCTTTGTCCTTGCCTGTCCTTTTCACTCTTCCTTCTTTCGCTGCATGCCTGTATCCACATGGTCCTCCACGCGGATATGGTACGAACCACGGAAAATTCTAGTCCATAGCTCGTCGTGCCTATCGTGCACAAATAGTCCGATCACCAACTCCATCGGTTGGTTACAAGAGCATCTAGCCATTCATGGTGGTAGCCTATGAAGCTTCATCACCTAGATAGACACAGGATCACTTCCAATTCGTTTATTGTTTCTTTGGAGAAATCACCGATGTGACACTATAAGCTCTCTCAAACCGAACTCTACGTAGCTGAACTGTTTATGTTCAGTTCGATTAAACACTATAGATTCTCTTAGCACCAATGAATATACATACTAATTAAGGCGGTGTTTGGTTCAGCTCCGTAGTGCTCTGGCTCCTCTCCTGTAGTGCCACTGTTCAACTCCCGTAGCAGAGTCGGAGGAGGCACCACAACTCAGCTCCCGCGGCTCCTTCTGGTTTTGCGTTGCGTGGTGAAGGAGCCGGGGCTCTTCTTTTTACTCGCTACATAGATGCACATGGATGCACAGTGCCTGAATGCAAGAGTCGGACGCGCTAAGAGCCCAAACAAACACGCCCTAAGTAGTTTATTACTCCTTTCAGGTAAAGGAATGTGAGAGGCATTCTTATTAGATACAGAAATATGAGGGGCATGCCTGGTGTCACTCAACACACACAGCTCTAACATGTCTTTTGGAAGCTATGGATCAAGATGAGCATAGAGTCATTTTGGAACGACCATGAGTTTTTTTCTTTTGAAAAAAAATTCACTTAGACTGTTAGACACTTCTCTTTTTCATCGAGCTTATTAACTAAGGTCTTATTTGGTTACACTTGTGTCAATCTTAATCCATATATGGTAGAGTGAATTATAGTGAAAAATTAACTAATATATGTCCTGTTCTAGAAAGGGACAAACAGTGCGTTAGTGCAAGCAAAATTTCTTGAACCAACCAGAGATATAAGACGAGTTCCTGCCGGAGTGCTTGCGGTCATGCGGAGGACAACAGGTCACCATGAGACCCGTACTGGTAATTCAAGTCGTTTTTGATAGCGACACGATCTTTAAAGCATAACTTTGACTTCTTATTTTTATAAAAATATTTATTGGTAAGTGATATATTTATATTTTTATGAAAATACTTTTCAAGACAAATCTATTCATATAGTTTTCACATTTCCAAATTCAACAACTTAAAAGTTATTAATGATTTATATTCCCAATATTTGACCTAAGTCTTGTCCAAAACGACTTGAATTACCAGTATGGAGGCAGTATTATCTAATATTCCCTCCATCCAAAAGGAATAAATTCAATTTAAGTTATTTTTAGGAAATATTATTATTATTTATATCTCTAAATAGATTCACTATGAAAATATAATTTTATTATTATCTAATGATATTTATATATTTGGTATCATAAATTTTGATATTTTTTTTGTATATTTGGTTAAGCTTAATTATTTAACTTCTCGACAAATGAGGATTGTATTTTCTTAATACAGAGGGTAATTATTAAATATCCAAATGTCCGTGCAAAGATTTTTTTTTTTGAAAATGCCAATCAAAATAAATATATTTGTTGAACTTTAGCTAAGTCACAATTTTCAACAATATAGAAAACATCAAATACGTGGATCCGGGTCAGCAATCTCTCGAACCACAAAACATGCTTTTTCCGTAAAGAAAACTCAAAAGGTTCAAGTGGACACACATGACTTTCTGTTGCTGACACGGCAACCCATATACCATCATAAAATTGTCAAAATATGATTAAGCTACCAATAAATCCCAAAATAACCCGCGCCTTTTCATTCTTCATTAACAAAATTTGTTCTTTGAATCATGCATGGCTTCCCTTTCTTATAAGACGGCTGGGAACCATCTAAGAGCATCTTCAAGAGAAGACTAATAATACCTTCAAAATTAATATTTACTTGATTAAAGGTAAAATATGGATCCAACAGTTTTCCGAGACTTCTCAAAATTTAGTCGCTCTGGAAAAACGAGCATGCGCCCCGCATCTGTCTCGAAGCAAGGCGCGCCCCCAATCTTTCCCCGCGCTCGTCCTCTCCTGCTCGCGCCATTTTGCCGAGTCTTCGCCGCGCTTTCTTGCTCCACCTGCCATCAAAGTGGCTTCCCATCTTCTTCCATCAGGTGCCAAAAGACTGAAGATGGAGGCAGCCAAGGATGCCGGTTCCATCCAGCGGCGGGCGGCGCATGGCGGCGGCCAGACGCCTGTCCGTCGATGCGCAGATGCGGCCGTCCCTGTCCATGGACGCGCAGATGCGGCAATCCCCAAACGGAGACGCGCAGATGCGGCCACCCCGACCCGCTGCCAGTTTCATGCGGCCGCCGTCCACCGTCGCGCAGATGCGGCTAGCACAGTCCGCCGGAGGCCATATTCTCCAGGCAAGCAGATGCGGCCACCCCCAAGAATCCCTGCACGTCATTGATGGCCCTCCTCAATCAGTGAGTTCTGTTGGCGACATGCTGGATTCCCAGCAGATGGTAGGCTACGAGAACTCATTCCCTGACAATGTGTCTGCATCCGTTGAAGATATGCCCAACAACGACATGTTTTTTGATGGTATGATGGAAACCACTTTGCATTGCTACAAATTGCTCAGTATACTTCCAGTTCATGGTTGCAATTATTAAATTAGATTCAGACATGTATGTCTTGATGTGATTAGTATAGAGTAGATGATGCTCAGATGCGTATTTTATTGTGGGTTTCAGGAACGTGTGTGCTGCTGAAGATCCTGTCTTATCTGTACAACATGTGTTTTAGGAATTTTATCTTTGCAATCGGTGATATTCTGATAAGTCTAATGTCTTCTCTGCAAGTGTTTCTATAGAAAACCCTGATTTTTTCAGTAACTGAATGTGTGTTTGGGTTTCTGTCATATCAGTGGCACTGTAATTTGCATAGTTTCTGATAGTACATTTCAGTGGCACTATAATTTGCATAGTATCTGATACTACAATTCAGTTACTATGCAAATTGTCCCTGTAGTACAATTGCATTTTGTACTAAAGGAAGATTATAATCTGCAAGTGTTGTCTGTCATATACCCAATATCAGTCCATCCTTATTTGCTTTGCCCATCCTGCCTAAGAGGGCAATGGCAACTGTCCTTGTAGTACAATTGCATTTTGTGCTAAAGGAAGATTATTTCTGAAAGCATGAGTGCTTTCTCTGGTGCTGCTGATGGTACTATTACTGCCTTCTCAGCCACTGTCATCATTGTCTGTCCCTGTCCCTGTTCGTCTCCCTCTCTGGCTGCTTGCTTGATGCCTGCCTCTGTGTACATGTGTGTGTGTGTGTGTGTGATATTCTGTGAACCAAATTGGCTTATGTTGGATTAAGTGTAGATGTATAAGTAATATCTCTAATTCTCTATATAGGGTTGATGTTTTTAATTTTTTTTACTAGGATTTATGGTGGCAAACGGAAATTTTTACGAATGTGGCCCAGGACGGGTATATGCCATCTGCAAGATAATAACCCATTGTATAATCATGGCCATTAATGGTATAGTTCACTTCTGGAGCTTGACCTTCAGCTAGCCTTGCAAATAGAGGTGACCGTTGCAAAACGTTGATGTCATTGTGTGAACCAGGCATCCCAAAGAAAGCATGCCAAATCCACAAATCTTTTGAAGAAACAGCTTTTAGTATAATTGTAGGCTTATGCATATGCCCTTTGTACATACCTTGCCATTCATAAAGACAGTTTTTCCACCTCCAGTGCATACAATCTATGGACCCAAGCATTCCAGAAAAAACATCTTCTTTCTCCAATTGCATGTAATCTAGCGGTATCATCTTCATTTGGCGATCTCAAGTACTCATCTCCAAAAACTTCTACAACAGCGGCGACAAATCTTCTGAGACTTTCAATTGCAATACTCTCACCAATACGGACATAATCATCCATAGCATTAGTTGCTACTCCATAAGCTAACATCCGAAATGCTCCTCTAATCTTATGCAAGCTAGACAGACCAAGTGTACCGGCAACATTCCTTTTTTGCACAAAATATTCGTCGTGTTGTTCTACAGCTTGCAGTATGCGTAGAAACAACGCACGCCCCATTCGAAACCTACACTATGAAATAATTAGACACACATATATAAGCATCTTTTTCTAGAAAATGTGTTGCATCGCATACCTTTGTCTGAAATAATTTGGTGTGTACGTAGGATCATCGGCGAAATAATCCTAGTATAGCCTCTGATGTCCCGCTTGTCTATCGCGTTGAAGCACTCGATGCCCATGAACAGAGCCGCAATGTTTTGGTTCTTCATCGGACTCATCCTCATCAATTACCGCATGTATCAAAAAAGAAATCATCATCATCATCTGACGACGATGAATCATGTAACACCTTGTTCATGAGAAAGCTATGTTGATCCATGGTAGATCTTTTTACTTATCTCGAACTAGAATCAGACAATATATTACGGAAGATCTTTGTGGTGTCGTAACTATTCGACAAGAGGAGGTGCACTAGCTGAGAACAGGCAAGGCCACATGCGACGGCGATGAGCAGAAGGCTGATGGCGGCGCTGACGAGAACAAGGTTGATGGCGGCGCTAGCATTCAAGAGGTGAGCTAGCAGAGAACAGGCAAGGCCAAATGACACTCGAAAGATTGACTCCTTGATTATGATGACACTCGGATGAATGACAAGTGGGTCCATCTGTGTTTGTGAATGTGGGTCCAGTGTCAAATCTGCAAACGACCGATGTTTCGAGTCCCATTTTTGCAAATCGCCCGTTGTTTGGAGACCTGGAGTCACCGTATATACCAACAGAAAGGAATGAGCGGACGGGAAAGGTCAAGATCCAACTAATCTGATCTCTGATTCAACTAACTAATGACGTGTCACTATTGGGGCCGAAATATTGGGGAGCTATCGTGGATGAAACTGATTTTGCGGTACAATTGGTTTAAGAGGGCCTTCAATAATAACTTTTGAGGGTTAACTTCTAAGGGACCTCTTGGAGATGCTCTAATAGCGCGCTTATGGGGCTGTGGATTGATCGTATGGTTGTGGAGGGAGTCTGTAAGAGCGTGATTGGTTGCATCAGACCCATGGGATGTATGTTTATGACAATATGCAAGAAGCCCTCTTCGGTCTGGCTATCACGATGTGTAGATTTTGGATGTTTCTTCAGAGCTAGGCTCACTAGATGTGGACAATTACCCAAATAATGACATTGTTAGTGTATGATTGACACATACTAAATAATGACATTGTTAGTGTATGATTTTGGAGTATTACTGTATTTCAAACAATATTAATAACAAGATAAATTGAACAAGTAAAATGGCATGTAGCCTAGTGGTTAAGTAACACTTCATGTTCTAGGTTCAACTCCTCGTGGGATCGAATATTTTAGTATTTAATGACGTTGTGCTTTCAGTGGTAGGCTCATGTGATGTATGCCATGGGTAGATGGCCTGATAAAGGGTTCACTGCTATGTTATCCTCTTGACCGGCTCATCTTAGGCGAGAGGGAGTGGAGAAAACATGGTAAAAAAAAGAAAATAAAAATATATTGAACCAACATATGGGCCCCACATGTAAGGGCCACGTCACTGCACGTCTACACGGTCAGCGTGCCACGTCAACCTGCAGAGCGGGTTAGGACCCGTTTCGACTTGGATAATACCCGAAGCCAAGTTCATGGACCTTGAAATAACATTTTAAGAGTGGAGGAACCTAGATGACACCCCTTGCCAACTTAAAGGACCGGCCATTAATTTTTCTCTTTAGACAATTATTATACACAAAAAGCAATAATTGTCATTGCCGTTTTCAATTTGATTGGTCTATAGGAATGCTTGCAAACATGAATTGGATACTTTTTAAGTGAGAATAACATGTTTTGATATAATAACAAACAACATGATACAAAGATTTGTAGTAGGCTAGGTTGCCAGGGTTCTTTTTATTGAATTTTCCCAAGAGCTAATAATACTTAGGGTAAATAGGATAAATCTCAACGGGGAAGCTGCCTGGAGCCCTGGATTTGATCCGAGATGAGCAGAGGATATTTTATGCCATGAAACTAGGAAATTTTGCGATTGAGAGTTCGAAACAAGAACTGCTTATTAGTACAAGGTCGAAGTTTTGGTAAACTTCATCAAATTGGAGGCGGCGGCGCGTGTCGGTTGGCACGTCGGGTAAGTGTGGAACGGCCCTTGGTCCCATCCCTTGTGTTAATTTAACGCTTCAAAATATTCCCGTCGCTTTCCGGCCCGCGTGTACATTTTGTATTCTTCTTCGGCTCCCACGAGGCCACGACCCACGTTTTCCTCCAGTCTAGAATCGCAGTTCTTTTGTAGTTTCGTTCTTTCGCGTTTCCACCTATTCTTTGTAGGCAGCTATCCTTACAGGTCCTATAGATCACGGTGTTCCTGCTAGTACATCCCAATTCCCAACCACAGCGGCACAGTGATCCTAGAGCAGCAGGCATTTGCTTTGCAATGGCGTTCTGCGCGGATTTTGCTGCGCTCCGGCCGTCGCCGGCCGACGTCCGTGTCGTCACGTCCGACGGGAGCACCATCCGTGCGCATTCCTCCGTTCTTGTGAGCGAGGCTTTCCTGTTTCCTTTTTTCGTGTGTCATTGATGCCGATCGAGTACCCGCCGCTGATTAGATTTCTCGCTATGCCTGCGTGCTTAAATCCGACGATGGCGGGATCAAGGCCGCAGAGTCCCCGGTGCTGGAGCGGGTGATAGTGGGCGCGCGACGCGGGTTGGACGCCGACTGCACCGTGCGCGTCCTCGGCGCGCCCGCCGACGCCGTCGTCGCCTTCCTCCGCTTCCTCTACTCCAACCCCAGGTAACAACGGCAACTGCCAACAGCACAGCATGCCAAGGTGCGGTCTTTCCGACTTGATCCGCCAGAGGACTCTTCTCTGATCGTCGTGCGTGCGTGATGCAGGGCGGCTGCGCCGGCGGGGGAGTGGGCGGAGGAGGACGCGGTGGGCGCGCACGGGCCGGCGCTGCTGGCGCTGGCGCACGCGTACCGTGTCCCGTGGCTGAAGCGGCGCGCGGAGGCCGCGGTGTCGGCGCGCCTGACCGCGGAGCGCGCGGTGGACGCGCTCAAGCTGGCCGCGCTCTGCGACGCGCCGCGGCTGTACCTGGCGTGCGCGCGCCTCGCGGGCAAGGACCTGGACGCCGTGGAGCGGTCCGAGGGGTGGCGCTTCGCGGGCCGCCACGACGCCGCGCTCCGGCTCAACCTGCTCCAGCTCCTCCACGACGCCGACCAGGTGCGTCTCTCGCCGTGCCTTGACTCCGACGGTTAGCTGTTACTTGCTTACTACCAGTTAAGAAACAAGTTTCCAAGTCATGGCAGCGTCAGAACTAGCACTTCTTTTTTAGAACAAGTGCGCGCGTATGGATTGTATCTCCATGATGAGTCATCGTTGACTGCTCTTGATGGCTGTGCTGAATGCCAACAGTTCCATGACACACCTGCTTTCTTCTGTATGAGATAGTTCCTGCCCACCTAAAGATCTATTGAATTTTTCACCTAGCCAGATGCTGTACTGATATAGCGATATCTCATTGCCTGATGGAAACAAAGATAGCCCAACCATCAGCATGTTCGCTCGGTCGTATTTAACTTACAAGCCATAACTTATCAGTAATAAATAGTATTTTTCTCTCACACCAAACCAGCTCAACAGTACTTTCAGCCATGGCTTATAAAAACCAGCCTAAACAAACATGACCCATGCTTAGCACATTGTGCACAGAGTGATGCAATCCTGAATTCTTTCAACTTGACACTAGAGTCTGGCACCCATCCTCCCATGGTACAGACGTACTCCCTCCGTCCGGAAAAGAGGATATTATAAGATGCGTGTAGATCAATTTTTTTTAATTTTAACTAGGTTTATAAAAAATACGTGCAATATTTATATCTATAAATATCTTTAAATAAATTGATTATAAAAATATATTCAACGATCTATCTAATAATACTAATTATGTATTATAAATATTAATATACTTTTATATAATTAGTTAAAGTTAAAATAAATTGACTTTTCGAAAAGCGACTTCTATTTTAGGAGTACAGTCCCAATGCTGCTGTGCTCCAAAACAGACACTACAGAAATACAAATCGACCACGAGTACCACGATTCCGCACCTCCCTTCCCATTTCCTGACGCGGACACGTCCGTCTCAACCCTTTTCTTTTCCCTCGCTGACAGAGAAAGGAGAGGTGGGAGAGGGAGCGTGCGTCGCAACACGTGTACGGGCAGCTCAGCGACGCCATGGCCTTCCTGGACCGCATCTTCGCTGGCACAGAAGAAGCCTCGTCGTGCGAGGACGAGGACGAGTACGGCGTCCGCCGGGGGCTCGAGCAGCTCGTGCGGCACTTCGCCGCGTGCGGCGGCAGGACCAGGAAGCCCGCCGCCTGCCCGCGCTGCAGACGCGCGTTCCAGCTCCTCCGCCTCCACGCCTCCGTCTGCGACCGCGCCGCCGACGGCCACGGCGAAGAGCCTTGCAAAGTTGCCTTGTGCAGGTAAATGCCATGCAGATGAATCATCACACGACAATGTCGTGTAAAAATATATTTCTTTTTCATTTCTTTTTGGTGTGCATGTGGACGAGCTGTAGAGGCAGTTGGTAGCAACACCAACAACACGAGGGAACAGTGCACAATTCTGTGGCTGCAAGTGTTTTGTCCCTCTGCTGGAGACGTACTCCAAGTTCTTTTGGTACAGTTGCACATGAATGGCATGAAAGAAAAAGCATCTGACTTTTGCTGAAAGTGCACGTGTCAGTGGATAGCATCCACCACAACCTCTATATCTACCATGACTGTACATGTGCCTTTCCCAGACCATTTGCTATGAATCTGAAGTGATTTTGGTTTCCTATTCCAGCAACCTCAAGGCCAAGATGCAAGAAGAGGGAGTGGACATGACATGGAAGCTTCTGGTGAAGAAGGTGACCAGGGCTAGGGTGATGTCTGCTCTGGCCAGCAGGGAGGTGCCAGAGGTTGTGAAGAAGTCATGGGCCAAATACAGCAGCCGTAGAGCTGCCAGAATTAGATGAAAAAAGGGGTGAAATGAAGGAAATACAAATACTAGTTCTGTATATGTCCGACACAATCTTGGTTTACATTGTGTGCTTTGGCAGTATTCCTACTGTATTTTTTTTGTGGGACGGATACAGAAGTCACACTCTGCATATGCGTGTAGCCAAAGAAGCTTGATACCTGTATATTATGTGGCATTGTTGTGGTGATGTTGGGATGGCGCCAAGGTTCAGTATGTACTCATAACACATTCATATTGATTCATGGTTTTCGATTAAAAAAAGAAAAAGAATACTTAAGATATTGCTTATTGCGTTTTGTTAGTTAAGGAACTTTAAATTTGACTTGAACGTGTATGCTGAAAAATTACATGATAAAATACTACTTTTCTGACCGGATAACTTGGATGATTTTCCCCGGATTTTAGAAAATCCATTTTGGGGCTAAACAACTTAACTAAAAACTCAAAACATAGCATTCTGAGAAGAATTTTTAGTTTCGAAACTACAAAAGTTATGACGCCTTATCTAAGCAAAATGTGTTTTTTCTATTTTAGCATCTACTTCAAAAAGTTATATGATTTTTTTAGATCTCTATGTCTTTTTTCGGATTGACAAGAAAAAAAAAGAGCCTAACCAAAAACTCAAATATAGCATTTTGAAAAGAATTTTAGTTTGAAAACTATCACTACTACACAAAATCTTTTGCGCAGCGTTTCCAAAATGGCATTGGAGGTGTGCGGCCCGGTTGCCCGCCTCGGTTATTCGAGGCAAGGCAGCCGGCCCAGCAACCGCCTTGGTTAATACATTAACCAAGGCGGGCATTGTAAAATAACTGCCTCGGTTAATAAGTATTGTAACATAACCGTCAAGGTAAATCATTAACCGAGACGGGCATTGTAAAATAACCGCCTCGGTTAAAAAGTATTAACCGAGGCGGGCATTGTAACATAACCGTCTCGGTAAATCATTAACCGAGGCGGGCATTGTAACGCAACCGCCTCGGTAAATCAGGCCCAGCTCAGGCCCAAACAAAATCAATTATACCGGGCTCATATATAATCAAGGACTTAGGGTTTCTTCTCAGTCATTCCTCTCCACATAGCCGCTCCTTTCTCACTTTCTCCCTCCCTCCGTGTGGCAGAACCGTCCGAAATAACACACCTTAGGAGGCGCTTGTCTTTCACTAGGCACTAAGCACCCGAAAGTAAGCTACACCAGGCGGTTCCATCGAGCACACCCCAAGGGAGAACTCAAACAATCCATGTTTTTTCATCCAGAATCCAATAATGAGAACAGGTTTACAATACTTAGTCCATTTCATACAACAAGAGTTCTCGAAAATACATTATTACAATACCAAGTTCAGAGTGCGAAATTTAAACAGCGAATTGAAAAAAACATCTAACGATAAGATACAAGGATCCGTCTGTGCCCACCAGAAAATCCTCCACACAACAGCCACTCCTCAAGCTGCACCTGGAACAGGGATAAATAAACCCTGACTACACAATGTACTTGCAAGACTTACCCGACTAGTGGAAATAATTTTCCGACTCCAAATGATATGATAAGCTTTATGGTTTGCTGGGTTTCCTTTCTACAAAAAGCATTACTAGTAGTGAATCCTTATGTATGTGTTTTATTAGCAGTCATGATTAGTTCATTAGCTAATCATTCTATGTAAGCACCTGTTCTACTTTCAAGCAAGAGTTGAGCAATCAGATCCATTCATCCTCTTTCATCTTCTAGTTCTTACTATAGTGCTAGACCATAGCCAAGTCGTACTATATCACACGGTGATTCGCGAACCAATGTATCCCAGCTGGGTACCCCGAAACACACGCCCCGCTTGTACTCCAGGCACAAGCATGATCAACCCACCACTCTCCTGTCAAGGGGTCTATGTCCCCATCCAAACTTAGACTCCAAGCCTCCACTCCTAAGTCCCGGACTTAGTGTGGTGCTTAGACCTCAACCATCTCCGCCTCCAATCAGTCGGTCCGGAAAGAGTCGAAACCTATGACAAGAGAGCAACGAGCCTTTCCGCTCCCATAAGCAAGTATGTGCTCAGGATAATAAGTCTGTGACCTGACTACCATCCACAACAACGGAAGGTCCTTAACCGACACGGACGAAAAAAGCAGTGAAACCAAGCTATGCCTCGTTGGCCGCGGAACACAATCTATTACACCCATCAATACCGTACCATATCCCTGCCTGGTCTCCATTTTATTTCACCATTTTATCATGAGAGTAATAATAATAATCACCTATTGTGAGTAACGGCAGGTTACTTACGCTACCGATAGCCTAAGCATAACAGCTAATCGACCTATGCTAGTAGAGCTCATAGGTAGGTTTATCTATGCATGTAGTTTCAATATAAATCATGTAACGTAAATGCACATCGCATATATATATATATATATATATTCAGTGATTATTGAAAATAAGGGTTATGCATCGGGGCTTGACTTGGGCAGGTGGATTGTCAGCTATGTCAGTTGTCGGTGGCTCCGAGGCTTCCTCTTGTACGAGGACCTTCTCCTCATACTCCTCGATCACCTCCTTGTACTCCTGCTCTCCGATGGTCATGAACTCCATCAACTCGTTCTCTACATGTATGCAATGATGATGCAACACTTAGTATTTTAGCAACAATAACTCTTAAAATAAGAATACATCTACTAATCTACTAAGCTAACTCTAATGACTAAGATACTAAGCTAACTAGTATTTTCATCAAACAAGGTACAAATTCATCTAACACGTATTAACTTAACAACTAAAATATATTCTTGCTTTTACTAGCGATTTAACATATATTAAAACAAGGAGTATCTAACTACCCTAAAGCTTAGCCTATTCTAAGGCTATAAAAATTACAGCGAGCACATAATAATACCAGAAAACTACCATAAAATTTTTAGAGCTAAAGCTAATACCATTTTGTCACAAAAATTCCTACAATTATTAACCTAATAATATTAAGTATTTCCAATTGATTTAATAGACCTCAGTTTCATCATAGATATGTATTAAATAATTATACTAACAGATAGATAAAGAATTTAAGAGCCTAACAAAATTGGTTTCACGATTTTTGACACCTATATGAATTGTTGTTAATTATCAAAGTTCAGTACAGAAACCAAAATATAAGGCTATTTCTATTTTCTAATAAAAGGAAAAACGAATTCACCAGCGTGGCCCACAACCACGCGGACGTGGCCGACTCGTGCGCACACACACAGGCCGACCCGCGGCGAGAGGGAGCCCGCGCGTGTGGTGCTTTTGCAAAAACATCCTTGCTCTTTCTAGTATTAACGCGTCTCTTATGCGCCCTATTCCTACAGTCGACCCTTATGCCGATAGGCCCTCGCCCTAACCCATCTTTACATCCGACCGGTCCCCGACGGCCCTGCGCTCACCGGCGCAGCTGGCATGGGGCTGCCACACTGGCCAACCAGGAGCCCCTCCAACACACCTAGGAGGTCGATCCTCACCTACGGGACGACACACAACTTCGAGCAGTGGTTGGACAAGCCAGGACATACTAGAATGGCCTCTCCACGATGACGGGCACCCTACGGCGACAGCAGCCTAGTTCCGGTGAGCCACGACCTTTTGAAAGTGGTAGAAACAGCTGGTGAGCACCAGTGACTCACCACGAACCTACCTATGGTGATGGCTCTGCCGGGGATGCCCCGAGCGAGACTGGCCGCGTGCGCGTGGCTAGTTCGACGACGGGTCATGGTGGCGCTGCCGCGTCAGCGGCGTAGAGATGGTGGTAGGAGTGCGGCTTAGGTGCGCATGGCTATGAAGGGTTCTAGATGGGGCTAGCGACATAGTCAGTCTGGCTCGAGATGGCGAGGTGGAAGCTGTCCACGGTGAGGTGGGCTGGGCCTTAATGGTGCGGTGGTGGAAGCAAAGCTCCAAAATTGGAGCTCGGCCTGGCAACAATCAAGGCGGGGAGGGGGCGGTCGGCAAGAGGGCATAAAGGCGGAGATGCGGGCACGAGGAATTGATGAGAGGTGCTCGCTCTCTGGCTCACCGTGACCGCGACTCAACGGCGGCGGAAAGCAGAGGCACAACGGAAAAATAGGGCGGTGGGTGCGGTCAGTGGTTCGGCTGGCGCATGCCTTGGCGGCATCGCGGTTGTCGTGGTGAGGGGACCTACGTCCAAGCAGGCGGGGACGAGCATGGGCGTCAGCGACCGGCCATGGATCGCGCGCCCACAAAGCTGCCACACCGGCCAACCGGGAGCCCCTTCGACGCACCTAGGTGGTCGATCCTCACCTACGAGACAATGCGCAATTTCGGGTAGCGGTTGGACGAGCCGAGACGCAGTAGAATGGCCTTACATGATGACGAGCACCCTGCGGCGGTGGCAGCCAAGTTTTGATGAGCCACAACCTTTCAAAAGTGGTAGAAACAACTGGTGAGCACCAGTGACTCACCACAAACCTACCCATGGCGATGGCTCGGCCGGAGATGCCCCGAGCGAGACTGGCCACGTGCGCGCGGCAAGTTCAACGATGGGTCACGATGGTGCGGCCGCGTCAGCGGCATAGAGACGGTGGTAGGAGTGCGGCTTAGGTGCGCATGGTGATGAAGGGTTCTAGATGGGGCTTGTGGCACTGTCAGTCTGGCTCTAGATGGCAAGGTGGAAGCTGTCCACGGTGAGGCGGGCTGGGCCTTAATGGCGCGGTGGCAAAAGCAAAGCTCCAAAATTGGAGCTCGGCCAAGTAGCAATCAAGGCAGAGGAGGGGGCGGTCGGCAAGAGGACATAAAGGCGGAGACGTGGGCATAAGGAATTAATGAGAGGTGCTCGCTCTCTGGCTCACCTTGACCATGAATCGACAGCGGCTGAAAGTAGAGGCGCAGCGGGAAAAAAGGGCAGCAGGTGTGGTCAGTGGCTCGGTTGGCGCATGCCTTGGCGGGGCGTAGTTGTCGTGACCAAGGGACCTACATCCAAGCACACGGGGATGAGCATGAGCGTCCATGACCGGCCA